ATGAGAGGGATAGAAAAGATATATAAAAACTTAGGCTAGTGTTTGTTACAAAACTTTTACTGGTGAATCAATCAAATCGATATTGTTGAGTTAGATAATATTGTTCCAAGACTTCAACCATGTTTTTATTTCTGGAAAGAAAATAAACTTTTCATATGGGTATGTCAATTTTCTTACTTGTTGAAGGAGGAATTCGCCTTCAACATGAGCATCAATCTTTAGTTCACTGTTTCTCTGACCACTGATGATTTCTAAGACTATCACACCATAGCTGTAAGTATCAGCTTTTTCTGATAACTGCCCATGAAGTGCATATTCAGGTGCCGTATATCCCCTAACAAATATATAATATTTATGACATGTTTGATTAGAGTAATGATACAAACATGAACAAACATGAATATTATGATGTGGCAGATACCTAAAATAGCTATGTGCAACATAAAATACCATATCATGTCCAACATATATATTTATATATAAGAACTTTTTCTTGAAGTATTCACGCTTCGAAGAAAGAGGGAAAGATGTAAGAAAAGGTCAAAACTTTCAACTAACCTATATATATTATTTGATGTCTTGGATAATAATCTACTCTCTCATAATAGTTAAAAAAATTCATAAGAACAATAGGTTTTACTTACAATGTTCCTGCAAATCTAGTGCTAAGATGAGTTTGATCCCCAGGTAAAAGTCTTGCCAACCCAAAATCAGCAATTTTAGGTTGAAAATCATCATCGAGGAGAATGTTGCTAGTCTTTATATCTCTATGTATAATACAAATGTGAAATTCCTCATGTAGATAGGTCAATCCCCTTGCTATGCCTAAGATTATATCATATCGTTGCTTCCAGTTGAGAGAACCTTTTCTGTTACCTGTTCCCCAAGATTACACACTTTGAATGGTAAGTAAAAGAAGACAGAAACATATTAAAGTAATTCTATAAATGTCTAAATAAGAAGTGATGTAGATGTTTATTAAGTTGTTAAATGAAATCATGACCCCTTAATAAGTACTTAAGAGGAATCTATGGTATGCTTCAAAGTTGAAACTGTCACATATCATTAAGAAGCATGAGCTAACCGTTAAAGAACTAAATAAAAATTTTATTGGTTGATATAAGATACCAAATATGAATCTGTCGAGACTGTTGTTTCTCATGTACTCGTAAACAGAATTCTCTTATTGCCTTTACGCAACATCCTAGAAGTCGAACAAGATTTCGATGATGGACATTACTTATCAGCCTTACTTCACTCTCAAATTCTTCATCCATCCTATTGGATTGGCGCATAAGTAATTTCTTCACTGCAACTATTTTTTCATTTTTCAAAGTGCCCTGTTCATAATGATTAAAAATTTTAGTAATGAATGTGTTATTGAAGTTATACAGTGTCTTTTGAAAATATCTAACCTTCTGCAACACGAAATAAAACTCAATAAATAAAGTTACCTTGTATACGGTACCAAATCCTCCTTCTCCTAATTTATTCTTTTCACTGAAATTCTTGGTTGCAGACTTCAAATCATTATAATTGTAATTAATAGGGCCCTTCAACTTGGATTCTCCCATTATCTCACCTATTAAGGAAAACACATTTAAAGTCTCTTCATAAGTTGCTAAACTAGTCTGGGATATGCATTCAGTAATATACATGAAAGTTATTTTAGACACGATCTTTTTTTGAGGGGAAAGAGAAGATGGAAGGATCAATAATCACCTAGCAAATATATAATGGTTGAAGACTTTAATTTCAAATTATTTACCTCTAGGGAGCTCTTTCAGACCTTTTTGACCGTCTAATCTGCATCCAGGCTAATGATGCAATAAGAACCAAAGCAAGAGCTACACCTCCCAACAACTCCACCAATAATGGCTCCCTTATCATTTTTACTTGAACCTACAAGAAAATAGTGACCTCATTTTGAAATGATCACTCAAAATGAACCATTACTGCATCTAAACAAGAATCACCCTAAGAATATATATATATATATAGTCATTTGAAACTGTCATGCCCTAGCTAGAATTTTTGTCCATCTGAACTTCAAACCTTTCAATTAACTGTACCTTGTTTGGAGGGTGTGATATTAATCGTCTGGTTATCAGGAGAAGAAGGAAGTTGTGGAGTATCTCATGAAACACCCAGCATCAAAAGCCCTACCATCTGAACTGGGTAGGCAAGTCTGCACAGTGTTGTACTCTGCTTCAGGCAATCCTCGCACCCACTCTGAGAGATAGTTCCAATACATTGAGCATAGGCATAAATGGTTGTGCTGTTATTGGGCACTAGAATCTTTGTAGCTGCAGAGAAACCAGTGATTCTGGGTGTTTCTGTTTGGAGACTCATTAGCACTTGTTGAATAGTTGAGTTAAATGTTGTGGCTGCTTCTGCATTCTGATTTCCACATGATGCAGAATCGAAAGATCCTGTTGCTTGGTCAAAGAAACTGCTGCTCTCATACCTCAACACACCACCAAGGGTTATTCCATATCAGTTTTCAAGCTTGATCGGTATGGATTTTGCTATCTACTGATGAACCTTAGAGAGGTATGGATTTTGCTATATACATGGTCATGCCGCTGTGAATTAAGGTACTTCTAGGAAAGTCATGTAAGAGTTACAATATCAAAAGTCACAAGGTTATGTCTTTGTAATGCCTAAAGACGCATTTGAAAGAAAATGAAATCAAAAGGTGTGATAATTAACTAGTTAGTGGTGTGAGAAAAAAAAAAGGCGTTAATTCATGGAACCTTGTATGCTTAGAAGGATGCTGCTCTTCATGTAAAGGTTAGTTTAAATACCTATCAATAAAAGTAACGTTGGTACTTGAAACATGTAACATATCCAATATTATTAACAAATAATTTGACTCTTAACAATCATTTAATTCCTTAACCATGGGGTATCTTGGATTTTTGGACACAACATGGGTAGAACGGTATTTTGCCAAAAAAATAATAAGGTTTCACCATGGTGAAGCCTAGTTTGAAGCCTAAGTTGGCCATGGAAGAATGTTGTAAGCAGGCATCATAAAGAACGCATTAGAACAAAACATATTAGAAGGAAAACTGGGGAGATGTGTGGAGCTCTACTAGGACAAGACTTGGAATGTTAGAGGAGCATGGCATCAACCAAGAAGCTTGAGATTTTTGTGTGGTTAGTGATTTACTACCCTTCTCCTCCATTTCACTTGATTTCTCCATGATTGATCAAGTGTATGTACAAAGTCGATTTTGGTGTACTAAGGTTTTGAATGAATCTTCTACATGTAAATGACTTCCCTAAGCTTTAAAAATGTTCTTTGACTATGGGTACTTGCTAAGTTGCTGTTTGATGTGCTTTGTGGATTTCTTTAGTTTTCAAGAAAACTAGGTGTGCAAGATGAGTTTTTGGTTAGGGGCAGAGTTAGCCCTTGAAATTCGGGGGTTTAGGTTTCTCTAGATGACTAAAGAGTTTGCCTTTCAAAATCTGGTATGGATTGGATATCATTTTTTACTTGCAATTTTCTACACGCGTATGATGTAAAGGAGCTGGGAATTGATGGCTTGAATTCTGTAATTGGTTAATTTAAAATGGTTGAAATAGTATATTTAATTTTTGGGTAGAAGAGCAAATTTACCCTTAAATTATAGGTCCCGGAATGTCTAAAACTCTAAATTCATTTTTGATACAATATTTCCTTTCAACTTTTAAAAATAGTGCAATTTAATCTTGCCATTAGCAAAGTTAATTTTGACCACTATTTGACCCGAAAACAATAGAAAAGGAATTCAAAAAATACAAAAAAAAAACCAATAAAATTTTCTTGGTCCTTTGTTGTAATTTAAGTCCTTCACCATACTTTTTTGGTCATTTATTGTACTTTTTGATTTCATTTTTTTTTTATTTTTTAGTCAACTAATGATCATACTTAACTTTTGTCAATGACAATGATAGGAACTAAATTTGCAACATTTTTAAAAGTTGACAAAGAACATGATACTAAAAGTGAATTTATAGTTCTAGACACTTCTGAACCTATAGTTTAGAAGCCAATCTATTTGTTTACCCTTAATTTTGTGGGCATAAATTGTGCTTTTAAACTTGTTGGAAGGCGTTTAGACAAATATCTCTCTCATGGTGAAATCGTGTTAAAGACAGTCTTAAGCTTTAAGAATGTCTAGTTGGAATTTGTTATGGCTACGGTAAGTTGGGCTGCTATATGAATTGTGTGATGTCCTCTTTATTATTTTAGTTGGTGTAGCTTAGAAACCTCTTATTACAGTGGCTTGCTACCAGTGCCAGGCTAGCTAGGCCAACCATTTTCATGAAAGCTTGGAAATCTCTATATGAATTGCATGATTATCTTCAAATAATCTATAAGAAAATCCATGTGTGAATAAAATGTGAAAAGTCTCAATTAAATTAGGCTTGATAAAGCATTGTGTAAAAGGTGACGAGGCATATATATTTATCCAGATCACACAGATTTTCGTCTTTGATCAGGAGAGAAAAGGATTGCTTGGATTAGGATTTGACCTGACATCTGAAATCTTGATCTTGGGATGCAAAAGTGGAGGTGAATAGAACCATGATCAATCTATATAAATATAGGATAAGGGCCTATTTGATTACTGATAAAGATTTGAATGAAGTCAAATAAAAAAAATAAGGAAAAAAAAATTACAAGAAAGGTTCTTCCCCTCCTGCTGGCAGGCTCTAGTGATGGTGTGCATGTGATGGCAATGGCATGTGTGGCAACAGAACTACTTTTTAAATAATTTATGTTTTAATGTGCTTTTTTATAATTTCTACAAACTTATGGTCTTCGGATGTAAATTTTTCATTTAAATGACCTCTCCTCTTCTACAACTAGTAGTTAGGATTCAAAAGCTGT